CTAGGAGCTACGAAAAGTGAATATGCAATAACCAGCGACGTCAGGCTGCTACCTGCTACGTCTCCTGCGCAGAGGGAAACAGCCTGCTCCTCTTTGCCCAGAGATTTGATTTGTTCAAATTTAGCCAGATGAGCAGAACAAGACACACCCCCTAGCACAGAGATCACCTGCCAAGCTGCAAATTCCTAATGCAAAACATCAAGTTACTAGAGCTATTAGAAAACACGTTGACTGCTTTAAACAGGGACAAGACACGTCCTGCCCTAATCTCACTCCAGAAACAGCCAATGCTTCTGACAGAGGCTTTAGAAACCCAAACCTTGGAAAACATCAGTCCAAGCATTCAAGTCCGGAAAACTTACAAGCAACATGGAAGATTGCAAGAAAGTGTTATCAATCCTAGATACAGCCCAGTTATGAGATCAGAGCACTGAACGTAGCTCTGCTCATCTCCAATTCTGAACATTATCCCAAACTAAACCACCCACCTAAAGAGTCTTCAGCAGCTCATTAATGCCAAAAATCAAAAAGTGTCAAGATACTCAGCTATACAAAAATGAACAAAAGAAAAGGAAATCCTAAACCTCTTGCTCCTCTAACGCATGCAAAGCGAAGAAAGGAAACTAACATTACTGGCTCCTATTTATCACACAGGGGTAGAGATCAACCAAAACCATTACACCTGCAAGACGTAGGGAAAAAAGCTGACCTCTGAAACCACAATAACGAAACAAGAGGTGGACTACAAACGTGACGCCTACATAATTAAAGTAGCACAGAAGTCAGCAGCAGCCAGCAATTGCAGAAGACAACTGACAGGTAAGAAATCTGGCTCCCCTGATCAACTTCTTTCTTGATCCACTGTGACCTAAGTCTTTTTTTTATGTCCTCTTTTTCATAATGAATAAAGAAAACCCACCGATATCAAAGCAAGAGTAGTACTTAGCAACTCTGGAAGTTAAGAAATCACCATCTCTCAGAAGCCACATTTTAAAGAGGATGAGGAAAACAAGAAACATAAGCATCGAGAAGGCTTAAGTGTATTGACTAAGGGTGGTATAGTCATACACAACAGTTAACTTCATTGAAATTAAATTTGCAAAGTAGTCCGAAATATATTCGGTATAACTGCAACAACTTAAAAAGTGACAGTTTCTCCTTTTCTATTCTCATTGAAGAAAAAAATCAAAAAAGTAATATGTGAACAGCCAGTTGCAATTGGGCCTGGGTCAAAAATTAGAATTTTGTTTCAGAGAAGGCTTCAAGTTTTTACAATTTGTTTTTATCCCAATGCATGGGGGAAAAAACTGAGATCTTTTGATCCCTACTCCAGGATCAAAACTACCACGAGACACTTAATATTCATCCAAGATTCCTCCAATACTCATCCAAGAAAACCCAATGCCCGGGAAAGACCTAAACTGAAATCCATCCTTTCAGTCAGGAAGTAGAGAAACTCAATTGTGGGCTTCCGCATACCACAGTAACCGGCCTAATTACTCAGAAATATTACTGGCCATCTGGAGTCCTACTGCAGCTCTCTCTGGAGATTACCTCCAGATTCATCTTGGAGCTAAGCAACTTTTCATACAAAGAGGAATCTCTTTGCAACGAGGCTATCTTACTGAGTCCCCATTGCCGAGACAACCAGGTCTGGCTGCTGTCATGCCCTGAACTAATCTTAAAATAAACAAACTACATGTTATCTCTTCTCCCATCCCAAAGAAAGCAACCATAGCATAGCAACATAAAGTACTACAGTAGTATTATAGGTTACTACTTCATAAAATACTATATGTCATCAGTTTGAGAGATTTTTTGGTTTTTTTTTGTTTGTTTTTTAAGTTTCATAAATCAGAGGAGGAGAAACACCAATATTTGTCCATTTAAGGAGCTACTGTATTTACTAGTTTACTCTATTATTAGTGAAAGAACTTGAGCTCTGCATGGTTACAGCGACATCTTGCATTAAGGCAACTGTAGGAATAGGACCCATGTTTTTGATCATATTTTCCAGGCAGTTAAGATCACATTTATTTTAAACAAAAACGCTTCAGCAGTCAAAAAGAGTTTGTGTGGTTTCCTGAGCTCTTTATCAGTCGGTATAGTCACAAGATCTATAAAATTGTGCTCACTAAAATTAACTAAAAAAAAAAAAAAAAATCAATAAATAAACGTGGGTGCGATACCACAAAACAAAATAGCCCATAAATGGATTGTACAGTCATGCTTCTTATGAGAACATTACACAGGATACAGAGCAGTAGAGAGAAAAACAGGTTGACCTAAAACATATCAAATCTTTATTTTTCTTCATATTTTAGCTAAGCTATGGGGAAAAAAATCCTGCTGCAGTTGCTAAAACGTGATAAATAATTGTAGTGAAGAAGAGTTTAACTGTAGTTGTGCAACTGATGCTAGACAGTCACATTTCAGAGTTATTATACAGTTTTCCCAACGCTGTTCATAATATTTTGCTTCCTTGTGATATCCTCTCAGCCTCTAGGAGAGGTGTACTTAATATTTCAGAAAATATGAGACTAATTCTGTACTTTATGCTGCATTTCTTGAAAGGTAATTCTGTCCTTCAAACGTGATCATTTAAAAGGACGGGCGAGGAGAATTCTTGTACCAATATGGTTTTGCATCTCTTTGTCACGCACAAAGGAAAAGTAGGGCGCTAACTATATTTCCTCCTCATCCCGGACCACAGGATCCCACCAGCAGCAGATCCATTCACCAGCTAAGATGCAATGCTCATATTTGCATTTTGATATTCACTGCCCTCCATTGAGTTCAGTAATGCTACAGATCAAGGTGACTTCATTTTATTTCATTTATTTTAAGAGCATGACAGATTACACATTTTCTTGAAATAGAGGAATATTAAAGTGTCAGTATCACAGTCACTGACTCTCTTGTCTATATCACAGGTTTATTTAGGTGACTTTTGGGGTACACAGCTGAAATTTTGCAGAAGAGAACCTACTCCTCCTGCTTCATGGCACCAATCCACCCCTGTGACACTGAGACTAAGAGTATGGGGTAAGAAAAGCTGTCAAATTCAACAGGAAATGCACAACAAAGGTGGAAAAAGATTATTTTTTTTGCCATGAAGTACACTCTCTCCTTAGACTTGAAATATGCCCAGGAATGCAGAAAAGGGTAAAAGAACGTTAAGGAATAAAGAGAACTAGGAGAGAGAAAGACTAGGTTATTCCACTCCTGTCCTCTATAAGTGCCACTGTGCTCCTTCAGCTGTTGATGGTAAAAGTACCCTTTTTCAGTTCTTCTTCCGCAGCAGGGGTAACAGAAGTTCACAAGCACAGGCCGGCAGACTCAGGGCCCCCACAGGAACCTCTCTCTATCCAGCTGAGAGACACCACTAGCAAAACCTTGGCCACACGATGCCACAAACGGCTGTTTCTCAGGAGGCACACTCTGCTGAGCGGGTAATAGGAGGTAGAATAAAGATCAAGCTGAGAAGAAAATGGCAAAAGTGAAGGCACGATTAAGAAAACCAATGCAGGGTAAGAGCAACAAGATACTTTTTTATTATTATTAAAATGGACGTAGTAAAAATAATATCCACATTACACAGAAAGCACTACAACTGTATTGGCAGGGAGAGCTGCACAGGCAAGAACAAACCGGAACAGGAAACTTGATTTATGCTTTCAGTCCACAGCTGGATTCTCATTAACAATTTTAGGGAAATCTTCCACTTTTACTTATCCAGCAAGGAATTTGTTGAAAGAGCATGTGTCCCGCCTTCAAAGTGAAGGAAGGAAGAGGAGGGAAGAGACCATGAGGCAGGAGTGGAACTTGTGTGCTGTATCCCTTAACACACATTCAACTTATGATCCAAGTTAAACGACTTAGTGAAACGGGACCCAAATATACATACTATATACCTACATGTGTGGTGCATATCTAGGGTCAAGACACGAAGGTGGGGCAGAAGGAAGCCTTTAGAAAAATGTTATTTCAATCACCTGCATATTTATTGTAGGAGATCTTCCTAAAAGGTGCTCCCCAAAAATTTCATGTAAATGCCAACTCTTCCTACTTTCTACATACAGAGCTAAATAAAATAATCCAAGATTTCAGAAATTAAATACTGTCAACCTCTTATTTGTTGCCAAGGAAAAATGTCACATACCCTCTGAAACAGGCTCCAGTCTGCAATTCACCTGAGAGAAAAATTCTGTTTAGAAACCCGAATATTTTGCTTCCAGCTTTTCGCATTTCATTAGTTTCATATAATCCTGAAAGAGTTTCCATGTCCCAGCCAAAAAACCAAATAAAATCAGTGAAGACATCATCTGCATTATGGTAGCTTTAGAAGCTAGGAAACTAGAACATAATTATCCAAGGTACTCTCCAGCACAGACGGTCGAGGGCCAAAGCTAGTCAAAATTTGAATCATATTATATGGACAACATAAAAGAGATATTAATCTAGCAGAAAGACACAAAAGGGATGCCAAGTAAGGAAGTAACCTTCAGTTTGGAAAATAAAACTCCAACTGAAAACTCCTCTCAGCTGAATCAAACTGGTTGAGCAAAGCTTTTTTTTTTCTTTCCTAAAGAGAAATAAAAAAAGTTGTCTGTTTTTCTCTCTCTTCTCTCCCCACCACTTCTATGGCAAACAGTCAGCATCTTGGAGGCAGCCTGCCTGCCCATTACTATGCTCATTTGCAACAGGAAACACCAGAAAGAAGAAAGAAAAAAACATATATAAAAAGTATCTCCTTTACAAGAGGGAGCATGTTTGTTCACTTCAGTAGGGAA